TGTGCGCCGAAGAAGGAGCGAAGGGTGTCCAGCGCATCCAAAACAACCCGCAGGTTGGGTTCCTCCGCGTGCGTCTTTTCTTGGTCCTCGGTGTCGTCAGCTTCACGCACGCTTTCGGTAATGGCCTCGTCGGTCACTTCCTCGTACACGACTACCTCGTCATCAGTGCGAACGAACGCATCAACGGTGAGTTCATCTGGAATGTCGATGTCGATAGCTCGAAGTTCCCCCCACACATTGGTCAGGGATAGAGGCACTGCACTGCCACCATTCTAGTCGTCAAGTGCGCCTTCGTCCAAATCTTCGTCTGGTGAGGCAGAAGCGCAATCCGTGCATGATGCTTGAACGGTGATGGTGAAGCCCGTGTGCTTGAAGCAGTTCTCAATCAAAGACGGGGATGTTGCGACCCATGCGGCGGCCACCATCTCGAAAGCCATGCACAAGTTGTTGTCGGTGGGACGCTTGTGGCGGAGGTTGAGTAGCAGACGCTGGATCAACCTCTCCCTGTAGGCGCACTTGATGCTCCGAATTACGTCTTGGTCGAGCGGCTGCAGAACAGAAGTGCAGTTCGGTGGAAAAAGAACCAAGCGCACAATCGTGAGCTCTGTCTCGTGGATGTGGTGGGCGCTACAGTTGTCTAAAAAAAGGGCCACCGACCTGTGTGCCTTGTGCATGTCGGCATCGAACGCCTTGACCCAGCTGGAAAAAAGAGCCCGAGACATTCACGACATCCAGCGCAGCGAGAATGACATCTTTGCCCTTCAATATGGTCTAGAGCGAGCTGCACGCAATTCTATACTCTTCGGCAATATCCTTCTTCTTCCTGCCCTTTTCAACTTCAACAATAATGGCAGCCTTATCGTGAAGCGACAGAAACTTCCGCTTTTTGGCTGGCGGGGGTATCTTAGCAAGAGCCGATGTGCCGGTAGCCACCCACAGCACTTTCACACAAACAGCCACACACAACACAACTCGCGGCGCTCACGTGTGTGAGGCTATGGAAGTGACGACATGACGGAAGCAATGCAGGATGGGATTCTGTCGCCCCCTAATGATGTCGCTGCAAGGCTGCTTAACATGACGATGATATTGTTGCTGTTCTTTTCTTTTTCCCAATCAACGTAGAATCCGCTACCAACGTCAAGCTTTTCTCAGGCGCCATTGTAAATTCATCTCGATTTCGCCACCAGTTCCAGTCTTTTCTTCGTCGTTTTGATTGATTCCAACTGTTGGTGTTGCTTCAGCCTGTTGAGCTTATCCGACGGCGCCATCTGCACTCCAGCATGATCATTTGCCATTGCCTGCTGCAGTGTTACCAGGCATGTTGCCGGACACAGACCCTATCGCCGATTTAAGTAAACAAAAATGGCGGTACTCACGCTAGTGCGGCAAAAGCAGACGTTTACAAATTTTGAGTGCGTATAACACGCATACGAGTATATTTTTGACAGTTAACCTTTGGCGGGAGGGTAAATAAGGCCCGCACCATGGTAGAAAATTCGTTAATGGGGGATTGCTGTCCAAAAACATTTCGTTGCCACGAGATACATAATACATGGGCTTCTATGAACGTTCACCGGGATCCGGAAATATTTCGTTGCCGCGGCGATTTCGTACTTGGGTGTTTCTTTACTGCGGGCTTCGACTGTACAAGCGTACGTTGCCATCAGACGTCAGGACATGTGATTATCATAACGACTTCATGGTTTAAAGCCAGTCAACCACTACAAAAGGCACACACCTTACTGCACCTATTCCCTTAAGGTCATTGAGTGGGTGCATAGCAAGTTCGAAAAGATTTTATGCAATAACTGTTTGTAAACTCTAGGCACAGAATAGTGTTATTGTGTTCAGCTCTTAAAGACAAAGCTTAAGGGTCCCCTAATTTTTGCAAAAGCAAGTAAAACAAAATGGTCTGTTTATTTACATACATCTACTATAGACTGTAATTAATGACTCATTGACTGGCATGTTATAAGAACTTTTAATTGCACTAAGTACAGTAAAACCTCGTTAATTTCAAGTCACTGGGACCGTGAGAAAGCTTTGAATTAAGTGTGTTATCAAATTAACAAAACATATGAAAAGTGGGATGCAAGGAACTTGAAATTATTCAAATTAATAAGGGCTGGTCATTCGCTGTGCCGGCTAGTTTGTTGCTCCAAGGATTATGTTTTCCAGCAATGGTCGCAGCTTTGCCAGAAACAAGGGGAATTGCGAGCCTAACTGCTGTCACAAAAAAAAAAAAAAAAAAACTGAAATGCTAGCCAGTGAAAAACAAGACATCTTCACTATTCACTGCAGCACAGTAGTAGTGACATGAGGGCAGCATATTGCCTGCTCCTCGTTGCATCAGCACGTCATGAAGTGACCATTCGTCCATTCTTTCTCGTAAAATAAAGAATTTAATATTCGACAGTGCAACGAAATTCACATGTGTTTTGGATAGACAACATCCCCACTGAAGCATTCAACCTGAGTTTTCGAAGTAAGCGTAGCAGGCCAAAATTCCGCCAGCTCTGCAATTGCGCGAATTGCTGGAGCAACCGGCACTCCGAGTTTCGCATACATCGTCGATTTCTCCAGACTGTCCTTTATTAATTTCTTTGAATTCCCAGAAATAATAGATAAATCATGACTTGCTGACGTTGCGAGAAGCATGTGGAGACATCAGGATCAAGAATTGGCCCACTGCACCCAAAGTTTTCGAATTAACCAGACTTGTGCTGACTACTGCTTCAAATTATGAACTCGAACTTGCATCACAAAATACAGAACCGCGGAAATACTTCGAATTAGGTGGCACTTTGAAATGACAGAGTTCAAATTACATAGGTTTTACTGTACAGTAGCAGGGACAACCACGACTTTAATACTATAAGAACTAGCAGTAACCCAGATGACACCCCACCAGTAATGATAGAAGTCAGAAAAGCTTTGGAGAGCATGCAAAGAGGCAAGGCTGCTGGTGAGGATCAGGTAACATCAGATCTGCTGGAAGATGGAGGACAGATTGTGTTAGAAAAACTAGCCACCCTGTTTACGAGGTGTCTCCTGACGGGAAGAGTACCAGAGTCTTGGAAGAACGCTAACATCATCTTAATACATAAGAAAAGAGATGACAAGGACTTGAAGAATTACAGGCCGATTAGCTTGCTCTCTGTAGTATACAAGCTATTTACAAAGGTAATTGCTAACAGAGTAAAGAAAACATTAAAATTCAATCAACCAAAGGAACAAGCAGGATTTCGAACAGGCTACTCAACAATCGACCACATTAATACTATCAATAAGGTAATAGAGAAATGCTCAGAATATAACCAACCACTATACATAGCCTTCATAGATTACGAGAAGGCGTTTGATTCAGTAGAAATATCAGCCGTCATACAGACACTGTGCAATCAGGGCGTAGATGAAGTATATATAAACATCCTGGACGAAATCTACAGGGGATCAACTGCTACCATAGTGCTTCATAAAGAAAGCAACAGAATACCAATCAAGAAGGGTGTAAGGCAGGGGGACACAATCTCCCCAATGCTATTTACTGCGTGCTTACAGGAGGTTTTCAGATGCCTAGAATGGGAACAGTTGGGGATAAGAGTTAATGGAGAGTACCTTAGTAACCTGCGCTTCGCCGATGACATTGCATTGCTGAGTAACTCAGGGGACGAATTGCAACTCATGATTACGGAGTTAGACAAGGAGAGCAGAAAGGTGGGTCTTAAAATGAATCTGCAGAAAACGAAAGTAATGTACAACAACCTCGGAAAAGAGCAGCGCTTCGAGATAGGTAATAGTGCACTTCAAGTTGTAAAAGACTATGTCTACTTAGGGCAGGTAATAACCGCGGAGCCGAACCACGAGATTGAAGTAACTATAAGAATAAGAACGGGGTGGAGCACATTTGGAAAGCACTCTCAAATTATGACAGGTAGATTGCCACTATCCTTCAAGAGGAAGGTATATAACAGCTGTATCTTGCCGGTACTTAGCTACGGAGCAGAAACCTGGAGACTTACAAAGAGGGTTCAGCTTAAATTGAGGACGACGCAGCGAGCAATGGAAAGAAAAATGGTAGGTGTAACCTTAAGAGACAAGAAGAGAGCAGAGTGGATTAGGGAACGAATGGGGGTTAAGGATATCATAGCTGAAATCAAGAAGAAGAAATGGACATGGGCCGGGCATGTAGCGCGTAGACAGGATAACTGCTGGTCGTTAAGGTTAACTAACTGGATCCCCAGAGAAGGCAAGCGGGTTAGGGGGAGACAGAAGGTTAGGTGGGCAGATGAGATTAAGAAGTTTGCGGGTATAAATTGGCAGCAGCAAGCCCAGGACCGGGTTACTGGCGGAACATGGGAGAGGCCTTTGTCCTGCAGTGGACGTAGTCAGGCTGCTGCTGATGATGATGATGACAGTAAACCACTGTATAAACCCTCCTGCTCTGTGTAATTACAGTGCTGCAGTTTACGGCAGGGCATGCACTTGGAAGCCGATGTTCCAATTTATAATGGTGCACATGTCTTTGTGACTGGGCAAAGCAGTTGCGATGGCCAACATTGTAATTACATACCTACTGGTACGCCACAGACAATTTTGGAGGCCAAGGGCCACCAGTTTCAATTTCGGCGATCTCCACTGGAGGCACTCTGTGGACTTGGAAAAGGCCCATCGGCATAGCAATCACATTAGTGGGTTTGGTAAGCCAGGAAAGAAGCACTGAATTCTTTTTCTTAATTTATGTTATAACCACAGCATGCAGCACTGCTGCATTTGACAAAAGAGTTTGTTGGTATTCTGTGCATATGAGACCATGTGTTAGAAAACGGAGGCAGTTGAGGGACCTAAGGGAGAAAAAATTGCGGTGCACTGTTGTCTGAATTCCCACTGGCTGTACTTGATAATATGCCATCTTTAGAAGTGTTACACACTTCACAGCACTCATCGGAACTTGCTCTTAAATGTATTTGCATTCAGGTTTATGCACGAAAAATCACCTGAATTTGTGGAGCCAGAGCAGCAGACTGGATCTTGGGCTGGCGCAGGGAAGCACGACGCATGGCATCTAGCACAAAATCATCAATGTCCACAGCCTGGTGGGTAGGTGCTCTCTGTTCGCAGTTGGCCAAACCAGGGCTTGTGGCCAGAATGCCACAGCTCTCAAGCAGTGCATCATGTCCTGGCTCTGGCACATCCGAATCACTTGAGTAATCAGAGCTCAGTGCACGCTCAGTTGCTGGCAATGGTTGTCGCAGCCAGCGTGCCGAGTCTTCCTCTGAGTCTGATGAGCTGTCCACCTAGGTATGAAAAGAGGGCAGAGGAAATGTGTTGAAAAGTGCAAAAAATTACAATACTGTAATTCTCATTAAGGATGCAAGCGTTACAGTTGTGGCAGCTACAACTTAATGATTAAACTGTGCTATGCATCCACAATAACTTTCTCTTGGGCGAGCCAGTTGGTGTTTACTGAAAGGTATGATATGGTACTGCAGCGCAAAATTAAAAAACTGCCGCTTTCTTTTCTATTCCTGCCCACCTCTTTAGTCTTTCTTTTCTAGTTTTGTGCTGCAGTATTGTGTCCTTGAGTGCTTATGCATTGGCCTAGAGGTACTTGTTCCAGCTCAAAAATGAACGCCAAGGAGTAAGTGGGACCCAGGTTGGTCCGACACCACAGATGACATGCATCATATGAGAAGCCTTCAATGTGAAAGAAGCCCCTCAACACCAACGCTTCACGAAGTTCTCGGTGCAAAATTTTGAATTACAGGGACCTGTCACAGCCTCTGCATGCTGAACAGGGAGGGGTGACAATGAGAAAGAAGCCAAGTTGGTGCACTTCATAGTCTCAACTCTTTCTTTACCATGAGAAAATGGCCATTTCTCATGTCTCAAGAACCAAGTCTTTGCCAGTTAACAAAGCACTCCAACACGCATTGCAGCATACGAAACTATGCATGATAAAATGTTCTTAGCAAAAAATATAAGTTGCAGCACAACAAAACTTGTGGAATGTAGAAAAATGTGATGAGTGTGTAATTATGGTTGCCAGCTGACTATTAACAAAGCATAAGAACATGATATGGTCTGGGGTGCGTCCTCACTGGCAACCATCTGCCGGTAATGCACTCCCTCACCAGAGCAGGATTGGCCACCCGGGTGCAGAACCTGGCCAGAACCTCCCATGAACACAGCAGTTAACCCTTGGCCCTCAGTCCCCAGCAGCTGTGAAGCAACTGTCCAAGGTGGCAGTCAGACCTGTGACGCAGCGGAGGGTGCTAAGAATCCCTGGGTATGGACAGGCTGCCATTGGAACCTGAACTTGGTTGCCTTCAAAACTAGAACACTATCTAGTGAGGCTAGTCTAGCTGTGCTATTCGAGGAATTAGAGGGTGTTAAATGGGATGTAATAGGGCTCAGCAAAACTGGGGGGACGCGTGAGGCTTATACAGTGCTGAAGAATGGACACGTCCTATGCTACCGTGGATTAGTTGACAGAAAAGAACTAGGAGTGGGGTTTCTCATACACAAAAATATCGCTGGTAAAATTAAGGAATACTATAGCATCAGTGAGAGATTGGCAATTATCATAATTAAGTTTAACAAAAGATACAAGATGAAGGTGGTACAGGCCTACGCACCTACATCGAGCCATGATCATTTGGTTGAATGCTTTTATGAAGATGTAGAGTCAGCCATTAATAAAGTAAAAAAGTTTACTATTCTTATGGGCGACTTTAATACCAAAGTAGGCAAGAAACGGGCTGGAGACGATGTAGTGGGGGAACATGGCATCTGATCTAGAAATGCCAGAGGGGAGTTAGTAGTAGAGTTTGCCGAATGTAATTATTTGTGGATTCTGAGTGCCTTCTTCAGAAAACGGGCTAATTTTAAGGGGACGTGGCGAAGTCCTAATGGCAAAACTAAAAATTAAGTAATGAAATTGACTTCATTCTGTGTGCACATCAAGACATTGTACAGGATGTAGAGGTACTAGTTGGCAAGATTAGATGCAGTGACCATAGAATGTTAAGAGCTCCTATTCACCTAGATTTAAAAAAGCAAAGACAAACTGATTAGCAAGAAGCCAATTAATGAACTGGCAGTGAGAGCAAAAATACAGGAATTCAGAGTTTCACTTCAGAATCAATTCGAGGCACTAAATGAGATAACCGACGTTAGCATTGACACAATGAACGATAACTTTACTAGTATCATCAAAGAGTGTGCAATTGAAGTTGGTTCAGTCACTAGATGGGAAACTGGCAAACTATTTCAGGAGACGAAAAATCTCATTAAGAGATGACTAATGATGAAAGCCTCAAATGCAACAGACAAAATAGAGCTAGTCGAGCTTTTGAAGTTAATCAATAGGCGTAAAGAGCTGACATCACGAGGCATAACATGAAAAGAATTGATCAGGCTGTAAAAAGCGGTAGAAGCCTAAAAGCTGCGAAGGCAGACTTGTGCATAGGCAAAAATTGGACGTATGCATTGAGAAACAAGGAAGGCAATGTCATAACCAATATGAATGTGATAGTCCAGATGGCAAAGGAGTTCTACAGAGAGCTGTACAGATGTCCAAAGGAACAGGATGATATTGTGAGAAACTATAATGGCCAGGAGAATTCGACATCCTACCAGTAACGACAGGGGACGTAAAGAAAGCCTTAGAAATAATGCAGAGAGGCAAAGCCACTGGTGAGAATAAAGTAACAATGAACCTCCTGAAAGATGGCATAGAAATTGTGTTAGAAAAATCAGCCATCTTATATTTGGGGGTGCTGACACCCCCTGTAGAGTTGCTTGCACCGTGTGGCACACGTGTCTCGCCCAAAAGCTGCATTTCGGGTTACAACAACTGGGTGGTAGGTGCCGTTGATTACCACTGTCATCATAATCATGGTTGTGACAATGATAGCGCCATGGTAACCCCTGGCGGAAAGCAAGCCTTGGTGGTGGGCGAGAGTTGAGCGAGCCTCTTCTGCGTGTGGCGGTTGCCGTGAACGGTTGTCTTTAGCGTGGGTCCTCGGCGCGTGGCACCGCGGGCGTGTGCGTCTGGGGCCCTCGTGGTAAGTCAAGCGTTGGCGCTGCCGCCTTGGGTATGTTATTGTGTTTATCGTGGGTATGTGTGCATGTGTTTGCTTGTTTGCCCCGACCGCCTCACTGTGTCCGTTCACTCCAAGAGCGTGGCGTGTCGCTCGCTAATTCGAGACCCTACAATATACAAAGTGTCTCTTGACGGGAAGGGTACTGGAATCTTGAAAGAAAGCCAACATCATCTTAACCTATAAGAAAGGAGACGTCAAGGACTTGAAAAATTACAGGCCGATCAGCTTACTCTCCGTTCTCTACAAACTATTTACAAAATAATAGCTAATAGAATTAAGATGATATTAGAGTTTGATCAGCTAAAGGACCGAGCAGGATTTTACATCGGCTCCAATAGATCATATTCCACAATAGATCATATTCATACTATCAATCAGGTAATAGAGAAACGCGCTGCATACAACCAACTTCTATACATAGCTTTCATAAATTACGAGAAGGCGTTTGACTCAGTCGAGACATCAGCAGTAATGCAGGCCCTACGGAATCGAGGCACCCAAGAACCCTACATAAACATTCTGGAAGAAAGCTACAGAAGATCCACAGCCACCATTGTTCTCCATGAAGAAAACGACAGAATCCCACTAAAGAAGAGTGTAAGGCAGGGAGACACACCTCTCTAATGCTATTCACAGCGTTTTTACAGGAGGTATTCAGGGCCCTAGACTGGGAAGAGTTAGGGATAAGAGTTAATAAAGAGTACCTCTCTCCAATGCTACTCACCGTGTTTTTACAGGAGGTATTCAGGGCCCTAGACTGGGAAGAGTTAGGGATAAGAGTTAATATAGAGTACCTTAGTAACCTGCGATTCTCTGATGACATTGCCTTGATGAGTAACAGAGGGAACGAATTATAGTTCATGATTACTGAACTGGACACGGAAAGCAGAAAAGTAGGTCTGAAAATTAATATGCACAAAACTAAAGTAATGTGCAACAATCTTGGCAGAAAACAGCACTTCGTGATACGTGGAGAGACGCTGAAAGTTGTAAAGGAGTATTTACTCGCATAATCCTCGCGCTCGCATAATTGTCGCACCCCCCATATCACCCAACAAAATAAGGTTGCCTTTTTTTCTCAAGTAATTATTGCACCCCCGAAAACTACTGCAATATTGTCGGCTACTCGTTCCAGCCACTGATGATGATAGCGCGCGCTATCTGGCGCCATCTCTTAAGCATCAAGCGGACTATTATCGCAAGGAGATTCAATCTAATCCAAGCCAAGCCAAAGTGGCAAGTGCAAATTGCTATAGTGTACTAGAATATATTCCAGTAAACTATTCCTGCGCGCTTTGTATGTTGTCTCGGTAGTTGTGTCGCGTTATGGGGTGATAAGGGGAGACCGAAAGCTAGGTGGGCCGATGAGATTAAAAAGTTTGTGGATATAACGTGGCAACGCAAAGCACAAAACCGGGTTGATTGGCGGCTCATGGGAGAGGTCATTGCCCTGTAGTGGGCGTAGTCAGGCTGATGATGATGATGCAAAGCAATCAAAACAGAAAGTTCAAAAGTACACTTTGATGATAACTGACACAGATATAGTATATAAAATAACAAATATTGTACACCATCTTCCTCTTAACAGTGGCAAAAGAAATATGGACTAAGGGACTGCTTCATCGTATATGCCATGCAGTGAAGCATTTTCTGGTATTTCGTGAGGCACAGGCGTGCTCGCACACTTTTCATATAAAATATTTGTTTTTTGTTGAGAAGAGCCTGCTGGTGTTCTAGTATAGATGGACAACTGTGATGTGAACAATGCCTATACATATGAGATGTCCAATGAATTTCAGCAGTTTATCTGGCGTCACTCTTTTCGCGAGCCACCTCTCTCTGCACAGGTTAGTGTTCGAAAATAGGCATGCATATTTATTTGTATCTTCGCAAATAGTATAGGAAAAAAAAACAACTAAATGACGTGCAGTCCTTAAATGTCTCGCGCCGCTCCATATTGTGGGGCCGCGATGTGCTGTGGTGGCCTTCTTACATGAGGAGAAGCTCTGCAGCCAGCACCAGCACATTGTGCCCTAGCGATGTGCGGACCTCAAACATAACCAGAGTAGTTCCAAGATTGTGCACAAAAGTCAGCAGCTATGCACATGTCAGGAGGAAACCAACCCCTGAACGACTGCAGATGTCGCAGCCTGACACAAAACATCGTTGGCATCAGAACTACAAGCTGAGGTGCTGTTATTGCGGGTGCAACAATCAAAATAGAATTTGGAGCAATTTTTGAAGCAGCAAAATGTAACTTTTGGAGCAATAGAACCCAAATTTGAAGCAGGCTACAGAAAAAAAACAGACATTCATTTTTATCATGAAAGACCAAATTAAGAGCAGTATAAGAAAGCAGGCTTGAATTTAGAAAAAAATGTAAGTACAAATCATTCAACCTCACTCAAATCGCGCAGAGTGAACATGAGCACGAGACTGCTTTTGCATTAAAAGTAATGTTTAAGCCACCCCACTGAGCAAACAATGAAGCCTACATTAACATTTGCTGCACCTGTGAAATCCTTTGACAAACTGCGAATTCATATGTGGCTCTGCCAAGCTGGTGTCCTTGAAATTCGGGATAAACATAAAACTGAGGTGTAGAGATGGAGAAAAATATTACTGGCTCACAACAGTTTTTTTTTAGGGCAGCAGTAATGTCATTCAATGCTCAAAATGATTTCCAGTAACTTGTCTTAGACGTCAGCGATCATACGGGTACTCTCAATTATACAGCACATACATGCATGAATAATTGAAAAAAAAATGTGCCATGTCCCGTGACTAGCGCTAACAGCCTCTTGCAAATCATAATGCTCTTTTCGCAGGACACTAATGTACTGCGGCGAATGTAGCTTAAACCGCTTTCAGCTTGCGTTAGAACAAGCCAACAAAATTTCGAACCGTAACACCACCCACCCTTCTTTTTTTTTTCTTTCATGATGGGGTTAGGTTTAGTTTACAACTTCTTGGCTCGCTTGCATGGCGCGTTCAACCAGATAAGGTAACATGGCACTTGGTCGTTGGCAGGGTTTTCTCTTAGGGGGTGCAACTTGGTCTTGAATTGCTGCTGGGGAACAGGGAGAGCAGTGGCGAAACTTGGGTGAGGGCAAGTGACGGTGAGGCTAGAGGGGGGGCAAGTGCCCCTTTTACATCCCCTGCCGACGCCCATGAACGGCATGTGCCGATTGGCGCGGTGACGGAACCGGATACCAGCCGCCGAGAAGACGCAACTTCAAGGCCCCCTCCAAGAAAGGGGGGCCTTTAATGTAATAAACTGAACTGAACTGAAGACAGAAATGTTTTATATGCCAATGTTATGGCAGCCCAAGTAGTGGCTGGCAACGCGGGCGTGCGCAGCATGTGAAGCTTGTTCTCGTGCGAGAAACACGCTATGCGCTTCAAGCTTTAGTTGCTAACTGTACTGCTGGAAAATTCATGTCTTGCGCCAAGCATCGGTGGCTACGGCAATGCATTTTTGTCTTGAAGTTACGTCGTCTCGCCGATAGGTATCTGCTACGGTCACTGGTCCCATGGTCTAGTGGCATTGTTCCTTTATGTGGTCGATCGCATCTTGCAAGTGTCCTCACCTAACTAGTACATATCTTACACCGTGGTTTAGGGTTAGGGGCTCCGCGCTTGTACCGACTGATGAAGCGAACTGCAGGTGGCCAACGTGGTCTAGATTTCTCACTGAAATTAGGGCATTTGAAAAAATTTTGAGGCTGGTTGGGAATTTTGGCTTCAGGCAATGCATTTTTGTCTTGAAGTTACGTTGTCTCGCCGATAGGTAACCGCTGCGATCACCGGTCCCATGGGCTAGTGGCATTGTTACTTTATGTGGTCGATCGCGTCTCGCAAGTGCCTTCACCTAACTAGTGCATATCTTACACCGTGGTTTAGAATTAGGGTCTCCGTGCTTGGACTTACTGACGAAGCAAACTGCAGGTGGCCAACGTGGTCTAGATTTCTCACTGAAATTAGCGCATTTGAAAAAATTTTGAGGCTGGTTGGGCATTCTGGCGCAGCTTGGTGCAACAACAGAGAATTGTATCAAATTGGCGCAGCTGTTGCACTCCTGTGTCATCACTGGACTCAAAGCTTGTCGTCACACTGTTCAGGTGTGGTTGCAAGATAGTTTCGAGTGTCACGCACTTCTCACGGCACAAGTGTACACCGATGAGCGTGTGATGACGCCGCCATGGGACAGACTATAAAAAGTGATGCCAGATGCGGCCGTGTCTGCACATGTAACAACAGAAGCGAAACTGAATCACCTCAGCATGTTATACATGCGGCAAACATTCGTAAATAATTTTTCAAAAATAAATTTTCTCTTATTCCAAACAACAGCACTCCAGTGAATAGCTGGTATAAATTTCAGGCAGTTGTTACCACTGAACACTAAGATAGCAAAGCTGATGCCATAATTTGATATTTGACTTGCCACGGTTCTTTTCATTACAAAATTTTCATGTTACTGCAGCAGCATGTACCGAAATGAAAAAGGAGTTAAACTGGGAGTTACTGTCGTCCCGTCGCAAAAAATTGCGTTTGAAGCTTTTATACCAGATATTTCATAAAAAAACGGGACTAGACAGCGACACTTACTTAAAAAGACCAGATTACATATCTCAACGTACAGACCACATACACAAAATAAAGCCGTGCCGGGCCAGGACGAACCTGTATTCAAACTCGTTTTTTGTTAAAACTATTAACGAATGGAATTGTTTGACATCTAAGCAAGTGTGCAGTGTTAATGAAGATGTATTTTTTTCAACTTTGTAACCCCCCTGCTGTAACGCCTCTGGCAAAGCGGGGATATGTATGAATAAAGAATAAAGAATAACCACAAGTGGCACGCATTTCTGTCAAGTTCGTCAGCCAAGCGCATTTTCACCACAACAAATGCACACTGGTTCGCGAAAAGGTCTGCCAAAAACCACTATGTTGCCAAGTCAAGCAAATTCAAACCGATTCTGGAAGGTCAGTGGCTGAACTAACTACTAGGAAGTGCTAGGTGTATACAAAACAATATCAACATGCCGAAAACAATTCATAGCATCGATCACCGGTGATCGATTTGAATAGACATGGTAACAAAAGAGTTGAGCATTTCCTCCAAGATTGTTTCTTTTTTCTTTGAATATCTTCACAAACTTTGGGTCCAAATGAACACTGCACGGCAACATTGCAGCACCCTGTGGCGGCCACAGCACCTATGCAGCATAAGAAGCACAACTGTGGAGCTCAAATACTTTAAGGACAGTGCATAAAAATTAAGACAAAACGAATGTATATGTACAATAAACACTTCTATAAGCTGCCTTCACAACTGTTGAGCTCAAATACTCGAAGGAAAGTGCATAAAAATTAGGACAAAACGAATGTATATGTACAATAGACACTTCTATGAGCTGCCTTTTTTTTTTAAATCGCCCACATCAAGCTTCTGTTGTGCTAATGTCTGCCCAAACTCTGTAAGAACCTAGTGCACACTGGCTGTTGTAGCGTGCTCAATACAACACAAATAACCAGCAAACTAGTGGCTAGCTTAAGCATCCAGCATGACATGTACAATTCAGAAAGGAAGATGTGGAAGCAGGTAAGTTCCTTACAGTATGCTGAAAGGAACGGGATGTCGGAGGACTGCATGGTCTAATGAAACTAGTCAACAGAGGGATGAGATCGGCAGAACAATAATGTAGTAGACGATAATTATTATGCATGATGCGTTACTATAGTCTGGGCGGTCAAGCTGTGACCTAAGAATGTGTATTACCATTATGGCAGCGGACTGCGCTTCTTCTATGCTGGAATAATCTTTTTCCTAAACAATAATTGTCATTGTTATTTATATTGCATTATCTTTGTTTCTTTAGCACTCTGTGATTAATACTTTCCCGTAGGAAATGCTATGAAATGCTGATTTTGGGACCTGAAATCACTTGAAATTCTGTATTAAAAATGAAAAAGCATGCAAAATTGATAATGATTACTCTTTCAGTCATAAGTAAGATTAAACCCAAATGTTCTCCTGAAACTAAACATCCTGGGAATGAAACTTTCTTATTTTGGTCACGTCATGTGGGCTGCAAACTCAATGGAACATTGCTTGATATAAGTGAAAAGTAAAGGATACAGAATTATTAGGGTCAAGGTAGTTAGATGGTATTTTTCAAACCATAGAAAAGCATGTTGGCAAGCTTAAAGAACATTTGTTAAGCAAATCTCAGTGGCATTCATATGTTGATGGTCTTTCCAAGAGTTGAAAGCTACTGAATGCTAAATGGTGACAACAATCCCTTTGAACGCTTATTGTAACCACCTCATGTGCACAAGGGCCATTGAAAATAATGGTGAAATGCAGCAAATGGGAGTGCTTGCATAAAATCATGCACATGTGAGTGCATTTGTACTCTTGTTAAATGTGGGTAACTTGCCGGAGATACTCTGAGTGCAACGAATAGTCCAACAGGTGATGGTTGGACAGGAGAATAACTAGTGTGCATGCACCTGCTGCAACTGCATTTGTAGATGTGCTTCGTGGTCAGTGACTCGCTTTTGAACAAAACAAAAGGCGTCCCAAAGAGTGTCTGTAAACAAAAACAAAACTACGTATGTAACCCAAATAAAATCATGTTGCAAGACATAAAATTTCCAAAAGTATCTTTATCTAACCCATTCTAAAACACTGTTAGCACCGTAACATCACCTCAGCATATTCCCTCAACGAATATCCCCTCAGCATAACATCACGACAGCTACCATTTTTCAGCTAGTCAACCACAACATGATATATAACACTGCTTGTGAACAAGGTGCACTATAAATGCATGACAAATTTGTGCTTGCAACATCTTAGAGTGCTTTGCTGTGTATGCATAAAATATACAAAGGTTTTTTTTCTTTAGATTGCCTGTGCACTACATGATGTGTGTATGGGGTTACATATAGCACAAAAGCAGTTGCTTTTTTTTCAGTTAACAGATTGGCAGGTTACACAGGTTTCTGAAGTCTGTCTAGCTGGTTCTCTCACTGTGGCAAAGTATATAGTAGTGCATCACTTATTTGCAAAAAGGAATGGCCCACCTGAAAGGAGCCCTCGGTGAGTGCCCCTAGAGCAGCAGCAGGGCGTTTGGCCAGGCCACGCACACTGCGCATGGGGTTAAGCCGGGCGAACTGTGAAGTCACATTGCTGAGAGCACGTGACCCCACACTCACGAAGGCCATCAGCTGACCTTCAGACATGTTGCGTGTCATGACCCCTAGAGGTGCCAAGCCAAGGCTTCCTGGTCGCTCGCCCTGGACGAAGGGTAGCTTGCTGCGGCGCCTTTCCAGTTTACCCTCAAACAGTGGTACACTCAGTGACTTAACACTCAGCGCCACCTTGAAGGACTCACAGATGGCCTTCAATGACTCTGAAAGCAAACGCACACATTCAATGTCACTATCCTTTCACTTCTCCTGTATGTTCGGTGCCTCTGGTATGGAGGCCTTTTTCTACACCCGATGCACCACACCATAGTTTTGTTGTTGACTGTGCTTCCTTGAGGAACAAAGTTGTGACTCACTATGCCATACAAAAAGCACCACCACCAGTTTGGAGAAGGGTCATTAGCTGTGCTAATTATTTATACTAATAACAATAATAAATGCTCAATAATAAATTCTTGAGTTCATTTATTCATTTGTTCAGATGAAAGAAACTCCCATGAGCCAGGACAAAAAGAGGTTACATGCCTCCTGACAGGGCACTGCTCCTGCTTGGCAGTAAGATAGACTCACCATTGCTACACATAAAACAGCACAAGGAAGGTTCCAGGAGGACAATATAAAACAGCATGATTCAGTGTATACATTATAAGACACAGTAGAACACTCATACATAAGCAAAATTCACTTTTTGTTACTTAAGAAAAGCATTCACATCATTTGCTGTGCCTTGACTAGACGTATGAGCCATCAGTGCTCACCATTATTATTGTAGTCAGAATACAATGATAGCACATGACAATTCCATTCGGCCAGCAAACAAACCGAACATCGAGAAAGACGAGTTCACAGAGCAATGTCGTATACACGGACTAATGGCTCTGCAGCATAATAATAACCCTGACAATATCCATCATACGCGAATGATTTCATTCTCGCCAGCTGCAATAACAAGCTGCTGTCAAAACATCGGCTCAAAGCAGTGTTCTATTCCATTCAGAACAAGATTTAAAAAAAAAAAATTAGGTAGGCATTTTTTTAGTGTATGCAATATTGATGTGATATTTTCGAAGTTTTGTGATGTTGTGTTGCAGGCAGGCGATTTCTGTTCAGACTGCCAAGTTATGACCAAGAGTGAAAGAGTATACGAACAAGAAAAGGACAGTATCAGAAGTAACTTACTATCTTTACTAGGTTTTACCTAATTATACATGAGCGATAATTACACAATACGACATTTCTGCACCTTTTGTTGCATCACATTATGAAAAGGAGCTGTGTAAGCGACCGTCAAGCTTTCGACCAGGTCAAAATCTGGATTATGCCTACAGCACATATTCAGTCATAATCAGGTGATGGCAAATACGGAAAGAAACAAAAAGTGGCATTTTTTTGTTGTTATGCAAGCCTGGATCTCCTCAAAACAAGCTGTAGCTTCTGCCATTTGCATATGTATAATGCAACCTGGTGTTTTGAGCCAGCCGACCAAGACCAGCCGAAAAAGATGAAGGTGAAACACAGGTGGAGGTGCTGGGTAATCTATGTGCTGCTATGTATTTCATATGTAATTTATCTAGTATTATTCTCTGTTGTGTATCTAGTAACATGTAATATTTTGTTATCTATGAACTTGGTAAATTTTTCTCTTCTGTACTCAGCCGGGAAGATCATTCCGATGTGCCACATACACCTGAAAAAAACTTCCAGTGCATGCAGCCCATTGATATTACAGTGGATGGTTCTGAGTGTCGAATTAAAGGGCCAGTAAACAGGCTCCGACTTTTTTTTTTTTTCACACACCTCAAACAAGCTCGCCAATTCGAACTGTAGACTGTGGCAAATATTCCGAATACAGTAGAACCTCGCTGATAGATTTTCGATAAGAAAAAAAAAAAAAATGCGGAAGATAAACGTACCATCCAAATGAACAAACACTAAGGCTGACATGTCCATATAGAGGTGTAAAGGCAAAAAAATATCTCAAATTTTCTGATTCTGCCTCTCACTATTGGACAAGAAAAGCTCCTACATATTATAAGCCCTCGTCTGTAATTTCATAGTTTTTCATGCAAAACAAGCTTTGTAAAGCTTCTAGTCTAGCAGCCGGTCAGCGCACGCTTTTGTTCTCCCCGCTGTCTTCTGGTGCCACTTCCCCCACTCCTTCATAAACAATTATCAACATCGGTTGGATTCACACTTGCTGCCTCCCCGTTCACCTGTCGATAGCCGATGCCAAGCCTCACTCGAAAGCGACTTATACAGCCGTTTGGAGGCATGAAGTGATCGATGCCAAGGACATCGGCAATTTCAAGCGCTTTCTCCTCAAGCACGCTGCCATCAAAGTCAACTCCAGAGGCCCGTGCTTGCTTCAGCCACTTCAATAGCACCTCCTCCAGCTCCCCATGGCGAGATACACGGGAAGCTTGCTTATTTGTGCCGCCAAACACAAGAGAACCTCTTTCTGCTTTAACACCACGGTATTCACAGTAGACGCTGGCAGTCCAAGATTGTTCACTATGTCAATTTGATTCCTCTTCAGGTTCCTGTCGACAACCACCAAGATATTAGGCTTCTACTTAATCGTTCGACAAGGGCTTGCGCTCTTCGAAGCCATGCTAGACACAACTGGCTTGAATCGTCAACTACTGAGCAACGTGCAGCTTACTGAGCAAGGTGTCAGCTGAGAAAGAAAACCACTGTGCTACAGAAAATAATAGGCTTTTTTGGAAAACCGTTTGAAGACTGTGACGGCTCAAACGGGTCTGTGTGTGGGGCTGACAATTGAACGCAGCAAAGAAACCGATGGCAGTGCCATTTGGCGCTTCACAAGCACGCGAGACCAGTTTTTTTTTTGCACATGTGAGAGAGAATTTTTGCCCATGGAACGTATCATGCGACTGCAGTTTGCTGCAATGCCGAACATTGCTGCCGAATAATCCTATTTTCCAGGAACACATTAGGCGGAATATAGCTCTATGGGGGCATTTCTAGTTTTCATAATTTCGAGCGTAGTGAGAACGTATAAACGAGATTCTACTGTATTACATTTTCCAAATACAGTTGAAACTCTTTATAAGAGGCCTGTTCCAGGCAGCAATTCTAGTCTTTTATTTCAGATGTCTCTTATAAGCATGGTACAATAAGTGCGTTTCCTTATTAACCTATATTTTACTGTAGGCACACTGGTGCCCCTTATACCTATTTGTCTCACATCAGTGCCTCTTATAAAAGGATTTGACTGTATTACAGCGCTGGGCGCCGCGCAGGCCCTCTCTTTCGAAAAACAATTTCAACAGCTATGTTTTTCACCTGACCAGTGCCCCTCATAGCTGCAGTGATGCAAGCTTGCCCGTGGGCAATTTCATGTACCACTGAGCTCGGCGAATGGTCCCTACGAAATAGTGCCTTGGCCTTGCAGTGATGCAGTTTCGGCCGCGCAGTCTGCTTTTTCATTTTCCTGTGCAGCCACCTGCTGTTTTGTAGAGACTGAGACTATCGCGAGAAGCGGTATTGCCGGTTGAGACTGTTTTCACAACAAATCAGTGCAGGGCAGGGCCTCCCCTGAGTGACATAGGAACCGTTCACATATAGCATGCATTCCCGAAATTTTTGAGGCAACATATTTACAGAGCAAAAGTGCACAAACTCTCTTCATAATTTTTGGACTACGGGGTTGCTTACTGGCCCCTTAAATATGGCACCACCAAGAAGAGCACTTGATGACGTTTCTTTAAATGTAACTGCATCCCAAACATGGTGTAGAAAAGGCAAGTATATTATAGGAAACTGAAAAGTGTGTCATACCAATCGTTTCTTCTTCTCCACTAATGGGAACAGCCACATTATTGAAGAAGCGAGTTCCTGTAGACCTAAACATGTGAAAGTAGCCACTCTGTCCATTGACCAGATAATGGAAACGAATACAATAGTGTCTTGATTTGAAGAGAGATGGTTCAGGGCCTGCAAAGACAAGCATGTTTCAGAAGCAGCAAAAATACACAAAATATGGTACTCTATCACGTGAATGAGAATGCTCACCTAGTTCCATTTTCTCAAGGTCCTCTAGGAACACTCTTTGATATTTGGTAATACGATCCGTCTGGTCATCATACCTGTAGAAATTGAGGCGAATATACTGCAATGCACTATATGTATTACAGGGCTTCATGCAACGATTATTTGGTAGGGGGTTCCCTGAAATCATTTTTGGCCAATTTCGGCAAGCTTGATTAGTAAATTACCTTTTTTTTACAAGCTTCCCATAAAGCATAAAATTTCTTTAAAACTTTTTCAAATGAGTTGAATTGCATGTAGACATCCTCGTACTTTGTGAAACATTAGATAAACATTTATAGCAATAGAATTTCAGAAAAAATGAAATGTTATTTCAAGATGATATTTAAATATAATGTTTTTATGGTAAATAATATAATTTACATTGCACAGTAAAGTATTGAAATTTTTTGAATAATACACTTTCTTCTAAAAAAAAGGTGCACTGCCTTGATTCTCCACACAAATAGAAAGCCTGTGCATAGAATCATGTTCAGTAAATTTAACTCGTGAACTAATAACTGCTGCCAACTAGGTGGCAGGGAAAAAAATAAGCTCTGCAACAAAAACAATAAAAGTAATGATTAGCAGGTGTATCTAATTAACATAGTGAAATCTTGGCAAAACAATACAGCACATTTTATTACTGATGATTATTCACGGAAATGAAGCATGATGTAGGGCTCATTCAACATTGGATTAGAAGGAAAATATACCAATACGTAAACCTTGTTCCACCAGCCTTTTCACCAACCAAGTACATTTTCTCAAGCACACATCTTACCCGCCAAAAAGACTTTTCTATGTATCAATCCCAAATTTAAGGTTTAAACGTACTAACCTTTTAGAGCTTTCATGCCTATATCTAGCCATTTCAGAACGGAATAGTCTCAAAAGTAATATAGCTGAAATAACCACGCTGTACTCAGAGACGCTCTAAATGAGGAGTTCCAAGGAGAAAAATCTTCAAATCATCAAGCACACACACAAACATATTTAACACCAAAAATTCTATCTTTCTCAAATTGTTACGATGCCTGAATATGAAGGTCAAATGATGTAAGCTTATTTTTGTGTTAACGTCAAAAATTCTGTACGATCACGTAAGTTGAGAAGCAGTGTACTACTGGCAATTTCTATTTCTCTTCAAGATTCCCTTTTTACTTTCCTTCTTTTGTTTCTATTACACTTTTTCTATGTTATATTAATTTTTATACCCCCCCCCCCTCCATGTAATGGCCACTTGGGGCCCTTAGGGTAAATAAAATAAATATGATTAGCGAGGATAATTCACATGCTCTGTGACAAATAAGTTCATACACAGAACACAGCTCTGAAGGTGTAAGATCATAGGTACACAGTATGATATTAATTAAAATATTGTAGTGCTACATTTGATTACGCTACTACAAGAAGAACATGACAGGATGGGTGCTGACTCTAAGTCTTTCCGTTGAGATGACACACATTGCATTTAAAGCAATGAAAGGCAACAAACACATTCCCAATCGTGAAGGGTGATGGAGAGGTGGGTGTCTTTTTTTTTTTTGCAAGAATTCACTTTTTCTTTAGTAGCTCAAATTCACTGGTTCGCAGTGATACAGATGTGGTGCTGACACAAGTGTCTTCTTTCTGTACGAGAAAAAACACCTCTGATGGTTTGCGAGCAAATCTCTTTCTACCTTTGTTAAGAATTTTCATTTTATCGAGCTGTAGTTCACAGTTTATCCAAGTGCTGCAATGGGCAGGTAGATTCTGGAACAACGCCAACTCGTCGCTTAACAACCATTCATGTTTCTTGGTGTGCTGGTTTATGCAGACCAATATAAACTTTGCCACATGGCCACACCTGTGACACACAACATGTACGACTTGGTGTGTTTCGTTGTGTTTTGTTTCACAGCCCAGAGTCGCCTCGTTGCTGGTGCTTCACATCTCGTGGCAAATATATTTGTGACCAAGTCGGGGCAAATATATTTGTGACCAAGAAGACGATCGGGACATCATACTTGCTGCCAACCCTTTTCAGATTGTGGGTTACCTTATGCATGTAGGGTATGACCACTGGTTGGGCTAATAATGGTAACAATACTTAAAAAGCTTAACGAGTCCCCCATCATATCTTCGCCTTGGTAAAGCATGCTCACTTCTAGTAAAAACTGCAACAAATCTCTTTCTATACATGTTCCCTTGCTCATGCCAACACATGCACTCACTACACCTTATCTCATTAACGTTCATAAATAAAAATGAAATTACTAAAACCTAGAGTTTTTTTACCAGTGTGACAATGTGCTGTGTGATCGAACATCACTGCGAGCGATCCTGAACGAAAAACATGCTTCCATATTTCAAGAAGCAAAATGAAATTGTATCATCACTGCCCAACATTCAATCATTCATATTCATTTCCTAAGCAAGAAGAGACATTGTTTTGCAATCTTGGCAAGCTTCACAATTCCTCTAAATAGAGGTGCTGAATTTCTGGAAACTCTGCGCAGAAGAGAAATCCTTTTTTTTTTTCTTTTAAATTGATTTTGTTTTCAGCAGTCATGGGCAAAATTACAACTGCAGTGAATCGAGCTCACATGATGACCTTCATTTAAGCCTACTCAGCACTCCCACATTTCGACAGTGCTCTGTTCTTACCTCCACCTGGCTTTTCACACACAGAAAACTCATGCCGGACACTACAGAATGTCTTATGCACCCACAAAATTTATCGTGATGGCCAATGCACATGCAGAAATGTGTAGTAAATGTTAAATTAAGCTAACGAAAACAAGTTATGCCTCTAGTTTCATAAAGACACACTACAGTTTTTTTTTTAAATGAACCAAAGATCATATAAGGTCAAACAAACTATAAATAAAGGTGCAAAAAACAACAGAGAAACACACAGACACGAACAAGTACAGACACAAAAGCAGTGCTCGATTCTGCCTGTGCACTTGTCCGTAGTTTTTTAGCTGTTTTTTACGATCATGAAGAACGAACTATACTCATGGACAACTTTTCTTGGCAATGAAGGAAAAGCTAGAGGGGCATGTGTACTCAAACACAAAGTAGTTTAGTATGGCCCGAGTTTCCCACCGCAGTGAAAAGTGATGGCTGCGCACAATCAGCATTTCATATTGATGCAGATGCCACTGCGAGCGTTGGAGGTACACATAAACGACATGACTTTCACGCATGCACAAACATGAAGTGACATCATATAAGGTAAAACAAACACAGATATCTCACTGGTATGAACAGTTTCTACTCTTAAAGAGCAACGCGTAGAAAATGAAGGAGTACTTTACCTCATGCAGACAATATGGACCCAATTTATTAGTTTTACTCTTCTTATAATTGTTTAAACTGTTGATCTCGTCAGGGATGATTACAGAAAGGGCATGTTCACTTATGACAACATTACAATACAAGTAGCAAAAGTTACAACACATAAAACATGGTAAGTTATCAAAGACAAGCAATAAAACATATTAATTCATTCTAATAATGTCTCAGAAAAGTAAGGGTCATCACAGAGGTCACCAAAGAGGTCATCAAAGGACAAAGCTAAAAGAAAAAAAAAATACTGATGTCATGTGAGGTAAGAATACTGAAACAAAATAATGTAACACACTGAAGGAAAGAGATAATGTAAAAAAGCAAAATATCATAAATTAGAAATTGTATGCATTGTAAGGCATCAAGGCTATGATTTCACAAAAGGTAGAAGTATCTTTTCCGCGTCGGTAGATATAGAATTATGAGCACAGCATAAAAAATTATAAGAAATAAAAATAATAAAGAAATGAAGGTGATACAGACAGTTCATAAGTGAGTAGCATGTTATTCATTTTCAAGCACTGTCCTGAAGGAAGAAGAGATAGCGCTGTTTGTTATAATAGAATCCAGCCTTTTCCATTCCTGTGTCATTAAAGAAAAAAAATTATTGCTCATGACTTTCCGTATGTACTGCATGCTCTAGTAATGTAATGCATTTTTCTGTTGTGTTTATTTCGTTTAAGTTATAGATAAGTATTTGAAACTGTCTATCTACAGGTCGCTGTGTATTAACTGGTACTACATAGCTTTTAATTGCACAAGCTTGGCTTGGTTTTGCAAGGTGAGAATACCGGCCTGTTTGAGTAATTCTGTAGGCGAGTCTTTCAACCTATATTTATTGCAAATGCACTTTAGTGCCTTCCTTTGAACTGCTTCTAATTTTTTAAATAAGTTATTTAGAGGAACGAAACAAAACGATGTTGGCACACCTTAAAGTCAATCTGACAGAAGTTTGACATAATAATAACTTTTTGCGTGGGGGTGCTAGTCTGAGACGTCTGCTAAAACAGAAAAAACTATTTTAGTGTTGCAAAGGCAATATTTTGATATAGTGCTCTCATCTGAAGTTGTGGGTTATTCTTAGGCCAAGGTACCTGCACTCTTTCACAGCGCTTTATAGGACGTTGTTCATAGTGTAATTAAATTCGGATGTGCATTTTTTCATCTCATTATTGATAGAAGCACTGATTGTCTTATGATTAATTGATTGATATGTAAGGTTTAACTTCCCAAAACTATCGTATGATTATGAGAGATGGTGTAGTAAAGGACTACAAAAATATCGACGCCCTTGGGGTTCTTTATCATACAGCAAAATCTGAGCACACGGGCCTACAGAGTACATGGGCCTACAGGCTAAGGTACTCGACTGTGGGTCAGCAGCTGAGTACCTTAGCCACTAGACCACCATGGCGGGGCCTAATTGTCTTATGTTAAAAATATATTGTAGGACTACGTTCATTAGCGGTAAGACGATTTCACTTTGTAGCAGTCACTTCATTGCCCAGAAAAGTTCTCTGTAAGTATCGTCTAAGTTACCGCCATTGTCACGCAGACATTTGTATGTCTGAGCCATACAACCATCTGGCAACACCAAAAAAGCATTTCACTCATACCATTGCAATTTTGCCCCTCAAGCAGTGCATTTCCTTTTGATAGGCTATTTCACATTTAAAAAAAAATCATTTGGAACAACTACTTTCCTAATGAAAAACTGCCACAG